GCACACTGGATTTTCAAAGGCCTTTGCTGATGGAGATACTTTATTTGATATTCCATTCCACTATGTCTGCGAGCAATTTCTTTATATGACCTCCTCATGCGGGGACGGGCACAGTTATCTCTTTCCTGGCGGCAACCCACGAAGTGTCTGTCTGCAGAGCATCTGTGTGATGATAAGGGCAGCTGTTCAGGTCATTTCCTATTTTGTGCAATGCCTCTTACACAGATGCAGCTCATTCTTTTATTTTTTTCCTTTTCCACTTGCTCTCAAGTTTGCCACCATAGCCTTACATTAAACATTTAACTAAGAGCTCTACAGTAGAGGCAAAATGCTTAGAAATGTATTAGAAAATGACACACTGCATGTACAGTTCATAATTTAAACAACTGCACCGTGGGAGGATTGTTGGAGGAAAGGATCAGTAGGGTTCAATTCTCCAATTATGGAGCTAACACTGGTGATTCATCTTTCATCATATTGACAGCACATATTATTATACAAATGTATTGGTTATATGCACCGAATGTATTACTTTGAAAGACAGTGAAAAGGAGGAAATGCTTTAAACAACAAGCCTGCATGCACACACATGCACACACACACACTGGCACTGCTTAGGAAAATCTACGCCAACCCTGTATTCTGAGTGTTGTTTCTAGCTATTCTCCAAGCTGCACCAATGCTCACATTTTTAATTCATGGCACTCAAGAAGAAAAACAAGAGAAATCATGCCATGGGGCATGCATTTTGTGTTCCACAGATACATAGTGGAATACAATGCATCTTTTTATTACTCAGTCAAAATGACTTTGAAGGAGAACACCTGGGTGCTTTGATGCCGGACAAGCTCTGTGGTCCTGCAAGTGAGAAAGATTCGTTCACAAAACCAAAAAAAAAAAAAAAAAAAAATCACAGTTATCTTAAAAATCATTAGTTCATGACCAGCATTGATAATCTCCCTAATAATGCCTTTCTGTGCATGCTACTTGAATTAGGAGTTCAATAAATGCTTATGGGGCACATTTTAACCAAGAGGTTTGCCTTTTCAGATTACATGTATTGAAAAGTTATTGTTCACTATGTCATTTTGTATATAGTAAAAGGAATTCATCATAAATGAGCAAACAGATTGACCCGTATTTTGCTTAATTATATCCGCATCAAAATGGCACAACATATCATGTTACTATATTGATACGAAACCCATGGCAGTTCCTATTTGCAGGAGAAGTTTTAAAAAATACCTGCTATGATTTTAAATGTGTGTTCTCTCTGAGACCTAGGTTAAACCTCGGGCTCCACAGTGTTATTAAGAGATGGGGTCCTTGGAAGATAATTTGGATTGGATGACATCATGAAGGTGGAGCTTTCATGATGCCATTGGTGGCTTTATAAGGAGATGAGACACCAAGGTAGAGAACTTGCTCTGCCTTTCCACGTGATACTCTTTGCAGTGTTATAAGCAGGAGGAAGACCCTCACCAGAGGCCAAATAGGTGTTGGGGCCATGATCTGAGGCTTCCGGAACTATAAGCTAAACAAAACTATTAATAAATTACTCAGCCTGTGCTATTCAGTTATAGCAACAGGAAAGTTAAAGTAAGGCCCTCTCCACCAGGCCTCTCTATTTTGTGATGATCATCTATCTATTCTTCCAGGAGTTTATGCTATCCCACAGAAAAGTACACTTCTCACACAGTACATTAAGATAACCCTGAAGGGCTCTTCTCCCTTTTCGTTCCTGCCTATTGAGGCAGCTAAGTGTTGCAGGACAGGATTTAATTCTTCACAATGGACAGTCCTGGCTTTAGTCCTGAACCCACCTCTTGGTTATAACCTTTTCAACTGACTTATTCTGTGTTATAGTTAGATCTGAAGTCTCCCCCAAAAGCCCTATGTTGAAGGCTTGGTTCTCAGCCTGGCATGCTGGTGTGAAGTGGTAGAAACTTTAAGAGGCAAAGCCTATTGGAAGTGAGTCACTGGGCAGATGATCTAGAAGGGGATTCTGGATCCTAGTTCCTCTTCTCTTTGCTTCCTGGCCATCATGAGGAGAGCAGCAGCCGCTCTTCTGTCATGTGAGTCTGCCATGATGTACTGGGTTACCACAGGCTCAAAGCAACAAGGTCAAGTGACCATGGACTGAAACCAAGATCCTTCCTTTTACCTTATTTCCCTCGGGCATTTGGTCATAGTACTGAAATGCTGACCAACACATTTTCTTAGGCTCAACTTCCTCTTACGTAAAATAGATGCGCTGATATTTACCTGCTGAGGAAGATGAAGATTCACCAGAGAATATTGATGGAGTGCTGGGAAGAGTGTCTAGCCTTAAAGCATCTGATATAATCAGAAATATTTTTTAATACTTCCTTGTATTTCTTATCATGGCACAGTCATCACCAATCCTCACCAACGAATGTGAACAAGGTAATTCACACCTCACACCCCCAGGTGTGCTACAATCAGAACTGCGTTGGCAAAACATCCTGAAGTGCCTCTTTGGACTACATCTCCCACAGAGAAACCTGGAGACACAGTTTTCTCTAAATGAGAGAGGATATATTTTCTTTTGACAGTGATCCAAAGCTCCCCACCTTAATGGCACCAAATCCTCAATTTCCTGAATTACCAAAATCCATGAACTCTATTCGTCTCTCACCTTCTTCATCCCAAAAGCCTCCACTGGAAAGAAAATCTTCAGCAAACGGCTAAATCTCTAGAGGAAAGAAGGAAAAGATATGACATAAATCCATATCGGTGTTAGAAGCAACAGCACCTCCTTGACTCTCTGAGCTATGCCTGTTGCTGGTGTACTTGGGTGCTTGTGTGTTGTACATTTCCACTGGCTGATTAATTTGGTTCAAAATCATGAGCAAACTAAAGGTGAGATAATATGGGTCTGAACATTGCAGACATCTACTCACGGGAAAGGAGCATGTGAAGAAAGTGGTAATTTTTACTGTCAACATTTTTTAAACTTTTGTCATGAGGTGATTTCATTCGCACCCACCTAGTGACCGGCAGGAATCACGATGTCCTCATTAACATCTGCAGCCCCATATGGCACCTGCATTGTGACAAGTGTGGGCATGTTAATTTTCTTAAAGAAAGCAACATTGAACCGCATTTGTTATGAGAGGTGCGAAACAGGTGTTCTGCTTTGTCATTCTCGGGAAACCGTATGGCTTCCAAATTTAAACAACCTTGTGAGGTCGGTCGAAGGCTGCAAAATGTGGCCTCTGCTTAGACGACACATACTGCACTTTCCTGTTCTCTCTTCAGTGACCAAAACAGAGGTCAGGCTCTTCTGGAATCTGCGAGCTAAGTGTGGAAGAACTGGACAGTAGACACATTGGAATGGAATTCTAGGGAGATGACCTCTGGTGGACTCTGATGACCCCTAGCTATTTTGTTTCTCTGCAACATTTTTTTTTGCATGTCCAGTCATCTAACTCTGGATGTGGAATACTGACTGGCTCTTGTGTCCTTGAATTACAAACATGGGTGTATCTACCTTCACTGAACTGAAGTTCCCCAATGTAGGCAAGAGAAATGACTTCACTCGACACACACTCATAATCTTTTTTGAAAGAATTCACCGTGCATGTATTCTTTCCATCCATTTGCAACCTGGTGACATTAGCAACCACCTTATCCATGGCTATGGAGGAAGAGATGGAGGTTCCACCAAGTGCCTTGTCAGATATGACAGGTTACAGAAAGATAACTTCTCGAGTACAAAGGTGGGGTGGCCAGAGTGAATGTGCCTTCCAAACTGGAATCCCACACTGGCTCTCTCCCTGTAGCTGTGTTAAAATGTTGGCACAACTGAGCAGAAGCAACATGTGGGGGATATGCAGCACCAGGACAGTTGTGCGGGAAGCAATCACAAAAGATTTAGAAGTTGTCTTTCTCCCTGCACTAATGATAATGCTATGATCCAAAGTGGTCACCTCCTTTAGTCGCTGTCCCCCATGATTCCCCTCTTCTGCTGTGTGACTTCTGTCCTCTTTAGACTCCATGTAGTCCGTCATTACTGTACCTTGGACAGCTCTGCAAAACCGGCTTCCTGGGACTTGAGGGAAGTTCAGTGCACCGCGCGTATGTTTAGCATTCATGCGGTCTTGGAGTCAACCTCCAGCACAGTGAATGAGTGAATCAATGAACTAATGTTATAAAATTCCTCATCTAGGAGGTGACATTGTTGTAGTTAGGGGTTGTGCAGAAAACAATTAGAAAGAGGGCAATGAAACATGAAACATGGTGGGGCACCCATAAATCTGACTGATGGGTGTTGCATCCTCTATCTGTGTTCTATCCACTTGTCTCTGTTCTATCCTCTAATGATTGAGGTGCTGATAGGTGGACACAGCACGTCTTAATTTTTAACCCCCCTCCCCCATCCTCCCTCCCCCGTCTCCCCACCTCCAAGACTCCCTCCCGATTTGCAAAAGATCCACCTCCCTATTACCTATCTTTTATCTTGCTTTTTTAATATTTTAGACTTTTAAAATCATTTTTTAGACTTTAAAGCTTGTGTTCGGGTTACTTCACATTATGGTCTCAAGGTGCATCTGTTTTCCTACAAATCTCTCAAGTTTGGCCTTCTTTAAGGAACAGCAGTATTCCACTGTGTACAAACACCATGCCCATTCATCTGCTGGCGAACATCGAGGCTGCTTCCAAGATGTAGTTACTGTGAGTTGTGCTGCTATAAATACGGGAGCGCATGTATCCGTGTAATAGGAAGTGTTGACCTCTTTCAGGAAGATACGTAGGAATGGAATACCCCTGTCAAATGAAATTTCCAGTCTTAGGTTTTTGTGGAATCTCCGCAGTGATTTGCATGGTATTTCTTACACTCTCTTGCACGCTTCAACCTCTTCTCTGAGCAAAGAAGGAACTTGATAATCGCTGCTAAACACATTGCTTAGCATCCTGGTGGAAATGGGTGAACACACAGCATGTTAGAGAACTGAGTCACACAGGAAAGCAGAGAATTTGGAGGCAACCTTTTTAATTGCAAGAAGCATTTTATTCGGCTTTGCATTAGCATGTGATTAAGAATCCTTACATCTGATGCAATCATTCTGAAAGCAGCATTTTTGAGAAATGGGCCAAACACTATTCCTGTGTGTGTGTGTGTGCATGTGGCTTTTTTTAAATTTGAAACTTACTGTTTTTTGCCCATTCTATATTGCATGTCATCCAGGGAAGTTTAAAACATTGGCCTCCTCTTTTAAGTTCTCTCTTAAATACATATGGCACTTACAAGTTTATTTTTCTTGCAATGCCAAAGACTGGTAAAAACGATGCCAGTGTATGCAAGACTGAGCTGTTTGCTTAACTTTTGGCATCAACATTAACATGAGGAATATGAATCTCTTTGTGAAGAACTCGCCCAAAGCTTCAGAATGCAGTAACAGTTGAATACAGAGCCAGAGCAATGATATCAATAGGGAGCTTTGAAACTATGGAACCATGTCTTAACGCTCTGCAAAATTACAAAAACAAACAGTATCTGTGCCTTCAAGCTTTGATACACCTCTCCTGGGCTGCCCCCTCTCCCTTCCAAATAATCAAATTTCTTGTTATACATTCAAAGCAAAACCTTGAGATGGTAAAGAGTTTGAAATCTATAGTCACTATGGTTATTGGAAATCAACATGACTCTGAAATGCCCTGAATTGTAATAGTGCTCTCAGTTACTTTGAGGCACTTTTAAGCTCAGTTCCTTTGCAGAGAGAGGTATATATTGTGTTTCACGCCCTCTTAACATCTCACACATTAAATATCTAATTCTATACCCAAACGGGCCTACAGTATCATCTATAAAAGTGCTTCTAGTGACAGAATCCCCAGCAGACATCCCCACACCCTTCAGAGTGTCCTAAAAGTCCGCTTGCACTGACTTCTTCAGTAAGTAATGACATCCTAAAGTCTGAGTTTAGAAGTCATGGGTTTCTTTGATGCTTTTTAGGAATAATCTCCACACACATCAACATCCCCGTCCAGTCTTTGGTTAAGAATACTTCCTGCAACAAAGCAGCATATTTTGTACAATTTCCAGGGTAAGAAATGCACGTTAACAGGAAAAATCTGGTTCATTTTGCAGTGTTAAAAAGTCCAGGGACACAATGGTATTGGCATCATTTCTTCCGTTTCTTTCTTTTTTTGGTTTCTCTTCCAGAAAAAGAACAGCAAAAATTAAAAGAAGAGCTACTGGGGAAATGCTGTGGACTCCTGGGGGGCTTTTTTGTGGAGGAATTCATGATATTATGATCAGTTTTCAGAAAGCCCAAGACAGGCATCCATATCTCTCCAATCAGCCAAAAGACCTCTACCACTCCATTTCCCTGCATGGTCCATACTGGGCAAACAGGATGACCATACACATTCCCCAAACTGATAGAGGACCGGTATCCTGGTGCACTCTGGCTTGTTTCCATTTGTCCATAAAGGCATTAATCATTTTCTGAGAGGATGTGCAAAGAAGTAACCACACTTCCGGTTCCCAGGCTGGAGAAATGGTACCCCAGGTGGACTTGGAAATCTATCACCATATTCATCTCCTACGTGACCTGGTTCCGATTTTCCCAAAAGTACTGAGGTTTGGGAGAAGTGGTATTAACACAAAATCACACATCTCATGGTTGATCCCAAAGTCAAGTTCTTCCACCCGGGGACTAAAAACAAAAACCACAAGAAGGTACCAACATTACCTACTGATTTCTCCTCATCGGTTCATGCCTTGAAGTCAAGATAATCTCTTTCATGCTGATAAATCATGGCTGACATGTGCCCCACGCCATGTGGACCCCAGATAACATATGGTTTCCATGTTAGTAATTCTGAATTATGTTCCAAGGTATTCCTGGGAAGGTAGCAGCCTCCAATTTCCTTGTAATTCCCAGTCTCACTCACCAAAAAGCAAAATAGGAGAGTGACATATACTACGGGTGATATACTAGAAGTAAGTTCAGGAGGGCTCTGTCTTGGGCTTACTTTGGTTGAAAGATTTGGCAATAGGTTCACTGCCCAAATTTATTGGGGAGCTTTCATTGCTTTTACTTAACTAGTAATGAACACTGAGATTCCCCACCCATCTTAACCTTCTCAAGAAAACAAACTGTGTACGTACGTATATCCGTGTATCTGTGCTTCTATCTATGTGGTGAAAAGCATTTAATACGTGTTGCGATAACAATAATACTGAGTTAACTTCCTATAATCAAATAGGAACATGCCATCCTCCTTGAACGGGAAAGAGGCCGGGCCTTCATTTGTTACAAAGCTGAATACATTAGCATCTACTAAAGTCTGGGAATGTGACCATCTCTGCGCCACTGTGCTGGTTAGTTTTTCAGGTTCCAGAACAACTTAAAGAGAAATGACATCTTATCCCCTCAGTGGGAGGACGGATGAAGTCACCCTTGAACTTGCCCCGCCTTGTCTGCAATAAGAAATGAATGTCACATCCACTCAGCTGACACCAAGACCAAAGAACATGGCTGCGGAAGATATCTGTTGATCACTGTTCTCTTGCAGACGCTGGAAGCAATCCCCCAGCTAGGTGAGCACGGATGTCCCGCGTTCATGACTTCCAGGGATAGGACAAGCAATGGGTACATTTCCAAGGTAGCAAGGTAAGACACAGCATCGGCGATGAAGATGGGGAACCCAGCCACATGCGTGCTTCCGGTCTCCAGACACAGAGCAGCTCATGGCTAATTGCTCATGCTTTGACCCTGTTTTTCTCGGTCACACTGACAAGACAGTGAAGAGGAGGCCGAGGGGCAGCAGAGCTGGAGCCACGGTTTCCAGAAAAAGTTCCACATAGACAGCTGGTTGGGGACTTTCTGCAGGCTCCTGGTGTGGTCGTCTGCCGCTGCCTGCATGGCTCGGAGGATGTCATGGTAACGGGGCTCTGTGGCCGGCGTCAGTGGCTTTGTCTCCTGTGGATCGCTGGAAAGGTCGAACAGCAAAGGCGGGTCGTGATGGGTGATGTGCTTTCCGAAACATAAACACACATGTGTGGCAAAGCAGCCATTGGCACCCTCCGGAGTGAAGTTGGGTGTGAAGTAAAAGGTTTTCCAGATGGACTTGCCTGTTGTTCAAAATACAGAGAGCGTATCACTAAAAAGCATCCTTCCATATGCTGTAGACTTACACTGAATGTTAAAATTTAGGAACAGCTTGTTACAGTGAGAGACGGCATTGCCAAGAAGCCCTCTCGCAATCTGCCTACTTTCTTTGCACGCAATTTGTCTCATCACTCTTGGTAACTTCTGCAGCAGTTCTGCAAGTCCTCTTGCATGAGCATCCTACACACTGTGATCAGAGACACAATGAATGGCACTGAGTGCTATCCAACACAAAAGCAAGCTTCGAAAACAGGATACTGTGCTTTTACCTATCTTATTCACCAGATCTGGCACAGAACCACCTTTGGGTCTTCCCCAAAGTCACAACGACCCCGAAATGTCAATGCCAAAAAATCAATTTGAGACATCAAGGTAGTGAAACCTGCTCAACTCAAGCCTATCAGGAAGGAGGATTCAGAGCTGCTTCAGAAAGTGGCTAGAACGCTGAAGGGAAAAGGTTTTGAGGGGGATTAATCACAACGTGTCTTTTACTGTCTACAGGCTTCAAATCTACACGTCCACTGTGAATTTTGATCACACATTGTATGCTAGCTACAAGCAGAAAGTCTTTCTAGGTGGCGCTTCAAGAAAGGTAAGCATGGATTATTCAACTGTGGATGGGGCATGCCTCCTTCCTGGCCACCTCCCAGGCTTGAAAGGGAGAGAGGGACAATGTAAAAATGATGCAGGACAAATGTCCCTCATCTGCAAACCTCAAACCAAAAATGGGCTAACCCCAAAACTTCCCGGTCTTGACATAAACAATGCCCCCAACAATCAAAACTCACAGGCACCAAACGCATGCCTGTTGGCTGTGTAAGGTTTACAGGAAGCAAGTGAATTTCCGGTTCACTCTCAGATCCCTTGCCCAAGATACCTCATGATCCTTGTGCAAATACAGGACCCTCAGATCCCAAACAGTATGGAAACAAAACACTTCTGTGCCCATCACTGCAGAGGAGGGACACATGGTCTGTGGCTATCTGATCACCAGAAGAACCAAAGGGATGAGACGAAACGAACTGAGCAGTTAGCCTGAGCCAAGGCTGAACACAAAAACCACAGCATTTGGGTTTCATTCAGAGAATGTCTCTCCCCTCTCTTCTCCTCCTCTTCCTCTCCCCCTCTCTCCCCTCCCCCTCCACTGCCCCTCCCACATCTCTTTCTGTTCCATTTCCTTCTGTTTTTCTCTCTCTTTTTTCCCAATTCCTAAGTGATCAGGTGATGGAAAGTTGCCAAATAAAGAAGGAGCAAATGAGGCGAACTCTCCTGCCCAGCTCTCCTATGTCCTAGCATAAATTCTGTGGCTTGAATTTGGAAAGCATGCACTCTACCAAGTTAGACACAGAAGCATCTGGCTCTGGTATCTTCTGCTAGCCAATCTCTTGGTGAGCTTGCCACCTCTATTTCTGTTCAAAACAAAAAGCAAGGGAAGAGGTAGGTGCAAACCTCACAGGTCCTAAAACAGGATAGAGCCAGGCACAGAGGAACATACAATAACATCACCACAGGTCATTTGGAATATGCTAGAACCTCAGCTGACACTGTACTGTGAGCGTTGGGGAAAAAAGTCAAGGACGTCAAATCCAGAATTAAATGAGGTTAGAGGTAGTGGGTGGAGGGCTGCAAATGGGTAACAAGAAGGATACTCCTGGGGTGGGAACAAATGTTCTAGAATTAGATGGTGGTTAGGGTTGCACAGCCTGGCACACATATTAAAAGTCTTGGAATTGGTGTTTTACAGCATGCAAATTAAACCTTCATAAAGCTGTCAGAAGCTCCAAATTAGGTGAATTCATCAACGTCCGAGTAGGACAGTTAGTTGGTAAAATTAAGTTCTGTCTTCCACGGACCCTGCCCCTCCCCCAATGCTGCCATTTCTTAGGAAAAGTAAAGTACACATAAACAAGTAAGTCACTCTGAGATAACAAATGCATGTCTGTGTGCCCGACAAAGTCATGAATTTCTGAAGGATTATTCTATGGGATGCGGTGTCATCCCTATCAGCCTAGCAGCCTTCTGGGAGGCTGAGGCAGAAAGATCACAAATTCCAGCCCAGCCTGGACAACTTGGAGACAGAGAGAGTGAGAGAGAGAGAGACAGAGTGAGAAAGAGAGTGAGAGATCCCATCTTAGAACAATATGAAAGAAGGGGTGGGGGTGAAAAAGCCCTGGGGTTAATTTCTAAGAGAAAGAGAGAGGAGAAGGGAGGGAGAGGGGGAGGGGAGTGAGTGGGGGAGGGGGGAGGAGACAGGGAGAGGGGAAGGGGAGTGAGTGGGGGAGGGGGGAGGAGACAGAGGGAGAGGGGAGTGAGTGGGGGAGGGGGGAGGAGACAGGGAGAGGGGGAGGGGAGTGAGTGGGGGAGGGGAGGGGAGGGGAGGAAGGCAGGGAGAGAGAACATGGAAGAGGTGACAGATACAAGCAGAATTAAAATGCCTACCACCATTGGAAAGAGGTAGACAATGTGAGCGCACCTTCTCAGGACCCTTAAGACTTCTTACCCGAAGTGCACACTGCCTCTCCAAGGGCAGGCAGCCCACCCCTTTTTAAGGCCCTCTGACACCTTCCCCATGAAACTGCAGCTATCTTGTGATGCTGGATGCAGACACCACAGAAAGGCTTGGGATTCACTGAAAGCTGGTCGCTGGCGTGTGGGTGTGGTGCTCCTGCAGCCCCTGGTCCCCCTCAGCTTCACGCACAGGGACCACTTCTTCCCTGTGTGGCATTCAATTTACTGCCTGGCAGAGGCTGGGAGACAGGGTGAGCAAGTCATGCTTTTGGTCTGCAGTGGGTGGGTGCACCCAGTGTTCCTGAGGAGCGGCTGGCAATTTGGGGCAGAGAGGCACGGGGTGTCCAGGTTGCTGGAGATAGGCTCAGGGCATCTGAGGCTCCCAGAGAAGGTCAGGGTGACACCAGACCTGGGGCTGCTACCTCCAGCAGTCTTGAAAACAAATGGCACTCGGTGACCTTCAGAGGTTTTGTGTCAGTGACAAGAGTGTGCGTGTCATCCTGCTGGCTTTCTGGGGAACAGAGTTCCTTCAGAAGCCATGGGATGCCTGGCTGTCCCTGTCTGCCCTTTGCAGCTACTGAGCAGCTGTTCTTAGAGTCGGAAAGAAGCAGGAGCTCCCTCTTCTTCCTGCTCTCAAAGCTGCGAATTCCACTCCAACCTAAGCGCTCTGCAAGCGGGGAGCTGGGGCTGCAGGCTCCGATGGATGCACACTGTGACAGCCTGAGCTTCCCAGGGCTCCGGAGGGCTGTGCACAGAAGGCGTGAATCAGGGCTCTGGGTAAGCTTGCTCCAATGTGAGCTCCTGGAGGAGGAGATGGTGTTAGGGCTCCTGGACAGCCAGCAGGTCCATTCCTGTGTCCCCAGAGGGACACAGGAAGTGTGGGATGGTCATTCCACAGTCACATCTGCCTGCCGACCTGCCTGCCAGATGCAATGGGAGGGAGAGGGAGAGAGAGAGAGAGAGAGAGAGAGAGAGAGAGAGAGAGAGAGAGACAGAGAAACTGCTGAAGGGTGGGCAAGTCTGATTTGGCCAGAGGGCTCCTCCTGGGGGTACAGCTGACCTCTCCCAGGCTGCACTTTGTGCTTCCTTCCCCAGTCTACCCCAAGCACCCACCCCTACCTTGAGGACCCAGGAAGAGCCTTCCTGTGCATCTTAGACCCCCCCCCCCCGCCGCCCTCCCCGGCTCACTCCTGCCTCAGATCCAGTCTGGGCACATGCTCACTTCCAGTTGCCATCCTGGAGGTTCTGCATCTGAGACTGGCATCTCCTTTTCTGCTGGGTCAGTCTGGAAGGGTGCCATGCTTCGGGAGTTGTTCCTGTTTCTTGCTGATTCAACTCTAGCTGCCTAGGTTAAGGTTGCAGTCCCAGCTCTCCATTTCATGGCTGCATGTGTTACTTCTCGAAGGGGTCACCTCCTTTCTTCCTTTGGGTCAAGTTCACAGGGTGTGGGGAGAGGGAGGGACACATAGGAGAAGTGACTTGGGAAGTATTGGGGGACATGGAGCTACTGGCAATCAGAACAGGAACACTAGAACCTCCATCTGATCCTAAATCTGCTGCCACCCCAAGACATATTTTTCCATATATTCTTGTGGTCTTGGAGCTCTTCCATTTCCATTTCAAATGCCAGCCTCTTATCACTGTGAGGAACCACACCATGGGACCCCATAATCACCTTCATCCCATGTTCCACAGCCTATCAGGACTGACTTTCTCCTGCCTCAAAAATCTCACTGCCTTTCCCCATCCTCAGACAAAACACCCCAAGCCAACAACCCCAAGATCACCTGGAATCACCCAAGATGACCAGGGTCCTCTAACTCAATACATACCAAAATGGAATGCATTGGAATGATACCAAAATGTCACGTGCCTGAGCCTTCTAACCAACCCCAGGGACAGCAAGGCTCACTTTGATAATAACGACATCCCTGTCCTAACTAGTCTGCTCTGGGCTAACACTTCATAGATAAAGTTCCTCCAGCTTCTGCCAGCATTCGAATGCAGTTGGCTACATCAGAAATCATGACCTGAGACCTTGCTGGAAGAACACATAGCTCCAGGCTATGGCTAAAAGTCTTTTGTTTAAAGCCAGAAAGATGTGGCAATAATCCAAGCTCTTCTCAGGGATGCTGGAGGATCCAAGCACAAAACACTGCTTTCCACCAAATCCTGGTTTTGCATATTGTAAGGCAGAGCTATGTAACTCCGTAAAAAACGGGCATGTGATGCTCATGAGACATGTCGCTTTCCTGTGTTTGCTTGTGGATATAAATATCCCACCCATCTCTCAAGAAGCCACCACAATTCTTCCTCAAGAACACTTTTAAATCACCAGGATCCTCCTGTCCCTCTCATGAGTCCTCCACACTCACTTGGCACTGAGGTCAGTCTCCATTTCTCTGAGTACAAACACTGGACCTCCCATACCTCTCCAATGGGTAGCATCTTGCAT